GTCACTATAACAGTGGACTTGAGCATATCAGAGATGCAGATGGGCAAGCCTTTGATCTGTTATTCATATGTTCTCTGTGGGTCATAGTTGACTACATGGCACTTAACAGCAACAAAAGAATAATTCCATGCATGTTGATGGTAAGAGTCAAGTAAAATGAAATCCTTGATGACTTCAGTGTTCACCATTTGTCATGAAGTTACGTATTGGTCTGTTGTTGTTGTTGTTGTTGTTATGTGCCATCGAGTCGCTTGCAACTCATAGCGACCCTATGTACAACAGCCCTAAACTCTGCTCTGACCTGTGCCAATCGCACTGTCTCTGACACTCCCATCCCAATTATCCCAGTCACTGAATCAATCCACCTCATAGAGGGCCTTCTTCTCCTGCGCTGTCCCTCGACCCTCCCAAGCATGATGTCCTTCTCCAAGGACCGGTCTCTCCTCACAACATGTCCAAAGTATGTTAGACATTAGATGGAGCCTCAGAATCCTTGCCTCCAAGGCGCCACCCGGTTTAACCCCTTCCAGGACAAATCTGTTTTCCTAGCAGTCCATGGTATTCTCAATACTCTTCTCCAGCACTAAAGCTCAAAGGCATCAATTCTCCTTCTATTGGTCTAGTTGTAGAAAATTTTTGTTTTCTTTAAGAGGCACAATGTAGTGAGCACATCCAGGGCAGCATGTGTTTGTTGAAATATGTCATTTGGTATGCCATCAGTTCCTGGGGCTTTATTTTTTGCCAAGTCTTTCAGAGCAGCCTGAACTTCCTCCTTCATCACGATTTCCTCTTAATCATATATTGTTTCTTGAAATTCTTCTGTGTCATACAATTCTTTTTGGAATTCTTTTTTAAATACAGTGACACTGTATACTCCTTCCATCTTTTTTTTAATGCTTCCTAGATAATTAAATATTCTGCCATAACATCCTTAAGTATTGCAACTTGTGCCTTGAATTTGTTCTTTAGTTCCTTCAGCTTAAGAAATTTCAAGCTGCTTCAGCCGTTTAGATTTTTGGACTCCAACTCTTTGAATATCTCATTATAGTACTTTGCTTTTTGTTTAAGCTACCCTTTAAAAATCTTCTATTCAGCTCCTTAACTTCTTGATTTCTTCCCTTTGCTTCTTGTTCCTCTAGTGCAATATTCAGAGTACCTTCTGACATCCATTTTGGTCTTTTCTTCTTTCTCCATCTTACAACATCAAGAAAGGGAGTGAAAAAAAAGAAAAGAAAGGGAGTGCATGAGAGATGCATCCTGTCTCCATACCTTTTCAGTCTATATGCAGAACAGATCATTCAGGAGGCTGGGCTTTATGAGGAGGACTTTGGCATCAGGGTTGGAGGAAAATTCATCAGCAACCAATGCAGATGGCACAGCCTTGCTTGCTGAAACTGAAGGGGACCTAAAGCACTTGCTGCAGAAAGTCAAGACCTGTAGTCTTCAATATGAATTAAAGCTCACCATCAAGAGACAGAGATTCTCACCACTGGACCAATTATGGAGATGAGACTGAGGTTGTTAACAGTTATAGCTTGCTCAGCTCCATAGTCAACACTCTTGGCACCAGCAGTCAGGAAATCAAGATGAATTGCACTGGGAAAAATCTGCTGTCCTGACCTTTGCAGAGTACTGAGAAGCAGTGATGTCAGTCGTTGATTAAGTGAGACAGAGGTGCGCCTGATCCGGGTCATGATCTTCACAGTTGCTTGTTATGCATTAGAGAGCTGGACAGTGACTAAGGATGACAGAAGAAGAATCAATGCCTTTGAGTTGTGGTGCTGGAGAAGAGTCTTGAACATACCATGGACCATGAAGAAAGCAAATAGTTCTGTCTTGGAGAAGGTGAAATTAAGGTTCTCTTTGGAGGCTAGGATTTTGAAGCTCTGTCTCACATACTTTGGGCCTGTAGCCAGGAAGAAGTGGTCCTTGGAGAAGGACATCTTACTTGGAAGAGTGGAGGGACAGGGCATGAGAGGAAGACCTCAGATGAGATGGATTGATATGGTAATATCAATTGCAACCCCTGTTGTAATGGGGGTAAGTGTGTTGGGGTCAGTGAGGCTGTCTCAGGACAGGGCAGGCTTCAGAGCTGTTGTACATAGGGTTTCTGTGAGTCTCGGGTAACTCGATGACACATAACAACAGCAACATGTCTAAGAGGGAGCACTGGTGGAATAGTCCTTAGAGAATTGTGCAGCTAATCAAAAAATTGGGTCTCTCTACTGGTTCAAATCCATTAGCTGCTTTATGGGAAAAAGATAGGCAGTCCTCTCCTATGCAGTTTGTTGTTGTATACCATTTAGTCAGAACCAACTACTAGCTGACCCTCCAGTACATGCAGTGATTCACATGGGAAGAGAAGTGCCCATTTTCTCCCATGGAGCAGCTGGTGGATTTGAACCACATGTCTTCAGGATGGCAGCACAACTTGTGACCACTAAGCCACATTGCACTTTACAGCTTTACTGCTGGAGGGTCAACTGTGAGTCAGTTTTGACTCAATAGCAATGACTTTTTTTATATTTAGAAAACATATCAGAAATCCTGTTATCAAGCTCAATCTAAATTAATTGAAACCTGGGACAAGAGCCCACTCAAAAGTCCATGGCCATGGAGTAGTTTCTGACTCACATGACTCTCCATCAGGATTCTATGGCTGTAAGTCATTATATGAGCAGAGAGCCTAACTTTCTGTGGCAGAGTGGCTAGTGGATACAAACTATGGTCCTTTAGCTTTGCAGCACTCGTCATCATCCCTGGGATAGGACCTAATTTTAACAAGCCCTGCCGGCAATTCTGATGCCTACCAAAGTTGAGAACCTTGACATGTATTACGGTTTCGCAGTTTGGACTTGTCAAGATTGATTGTCTTTTAAAACAAACAAGAAGCAACTTAATTAAGTTAAATGTATTATCACTGCTAATAATTTTAAAATTAAATTGAAAGTTCACAAATAAAATAATTGCTGAGTACTGTATCTGATCTAAGGCATTTGGTAGGTTGTTATTTTCAAATTATTTATATACACCAACATTTTGTGTGTACATTAGTTTATTTCTAGCCTTTAACACAGGAGTTCAGGAAATTGAAGACTGCTCTTATTTTTACAGAGTTAATAAACTAAGGAAGAAGTAAGATAAACATGCACTAACACGAAAGGCAAACACATAAATATGTTTCCTTTCAAGGTTATTTCTATTTCTGTGGTTGTTGAATATATCACAGTGTAGGCGGTCTATCTATTCACCCCATGTACAAAAATGAAGAACAAAGCAGCACTTTATAGAATGTGAAATATGGTCTACTCAATTCAGTTCACTCTTTTCTGTTCACCTTCCCATTTAGAACTACTTAAACAGAATCTTTACTACTGTTGTTAATCTGTTTTCAGAAATAGTAACTTTAGAATCAATTAGAGTCTAAATTTAGAATAAATTTTTTGTGATCTCCAGTTGATGGGATATTTCTTCCTCAATTTTGAAAGAGTAAGAAGCATCACACTGTCTTACTTTATAAAAAAGTACTTTACAAAATGTCTTAGAACAGAACTTCTCTGAAATAATCTTACTACATTTAATTATGTAGAATTAGACTTATTGGAGAGTTGAAAATACTTCATTTGTAGTTCCGTGACCAATGAGACCAAACACAAATGAAATTCACAGATACAGCTTGTCATTGAAGTCAGTAGTCAAAGTTCTCATTCTGACTTTTATTTCTGAGCTAAGAATAGTTTGTTAGAATATTTGCTAGTCATAATTTACAGCTAAACACACTTGAAATTTATAGCATTATAAAAGCTTAAAAAATAGAGGCTACCTGAACAGAGTACATTGATTTTCTGGAAGTACTGTTGTTACTGGAATTTTGCTTCCAAACTGAGTGTTAAATTTTATTGAATTATGCAGCATTGAGTCAAAATCAACTCATAGCCGATTTTCTAGGGAGTTTTCAGAGCAGTAAATCTCAAAGAACAAAGTTGCCCTGCTTTCTCCTGAGGATAAGCTGGTAGATTTGCACCTCCTGCCTTCAGATTGCCCGCATACCTCCTTGTTGTTATTAGGTGCCGTTGAACGGAGTATGACTTATAGCGATCCTATCTGAACAGCAGACCTGAACCATCCTGTGCCTGTGCCATTTTCATTTAACTGTCTGCCCATTTTAACTTTTTATCAGGCTTTCATCCTTGAAAATCTTCCTATATTACCCCTCTTTTCCTCATGAATTTCTTTTCCTAAATTAATTTTTCTAGTCTTTCTAAAATATGTAACACTACTGCATTTCGTCAGTTGTGGTATTCCTTAGTATTGGAAAGTCTTCATTTTGTTGTGTTGCTAGTCTAAAGGCCACACACCTTTCTGGTGATTCAAATCTGTCAACACCTCTTCAGGAGAAAGGTGCAGATCAGCTGTGAGTTGATTCAAACTTGTTGAACAACTTAAAAAGAAAAGTTGACATCATTGGAAAAGAATAGTTTTCCCCCCCTCAGGATGATTATACATTCATCTCCCCAGTTATATTCACAAGTTTCAGAACCTTAAAAACCTTTTCATATCTGAGAATATCAGAGGTCTGATATAATAGGTTTGGTGGAAAACATATGGGAATTTTTATTACCTTTTAAATAAGTTCCTGCTATTAACTTGGATGTAAACTTTTGTTTTCCCTTTCTTTTAGAGACAAGTATTTCTCTTCACAGACTTAATTCTCACCAGAATAATAATTGTAACTATTTTCTTTACTAGGTTGGCATACTAAACTTTCAATAACTTTAGTAGGCTATCATATTATTATAAATTTACTATAAACTTTGTCACGAAAAAATAAATTAATAAAAGCTGCAGCTTTTATTTATTGCAACTTTATTGTATTTTTAAAATAAACTTTTAGACGATATCAGAATAAATACTGATAATTTTCTTTAGAATGTAGACCCATCTTATTCAGTACTGTCCTCTTTTTCACTTTGCTGACTCTTTGTATTTGTGACTCTTAGATTGTAGGGAATGGAAGTGAGCAGCAGCTGCAGAAAGAACTAGCAGATGTACTGATGGATCCTCCAATGGATGACCAGCCAGGGGACAAGGAACTTGTGGAAAGAGTACACCTGGATGGCGAAGGAGATGCACCTCTTTCTGATCCACTCTCAGCTTCTTCCACCATTAATCCCGTGCCATTAGTAGGGCTCCAAAAACCAGAGATGAGCCTGCCAGTAAAACCTGGACAAGGAGGTTAGGATTGCTGCATTGCTTGCGTAACTGAAGGTTATTGTTTTTAATATTTGAGCATCCATCCTATATTGGTTTGATTCAGAACTAACAAAAGACATTATTTGTGTTTTCCAGAATCTCTAGTAGACCCCCTAGATACAGGGAAATTAAATGTAGGTGCCGTTTTGGTTTTTTTTAAAATGTGTTTCAGTTATTATAAAAAGAGAAGCCACTAACACTGAGAGGATCAATTTGTAGATTGCTTAAAGATCTTTTTAAGGGGAAAAATGAAATTGGAAGATGATGTTGGGCAAATGATGGGATAATACTCAGTGAAGAAATGTTTGCTTCAGGCTTGTGCACTTCTTTCTGTGAGTAGTTGCAACATAGAAAGAGGGAGGAGAGAATAATGGAGTAGAAAGGCAGAGAGGGCTGTTATTTGTTGGGTACTTCTGAGTTGGTTCTAACAGTGGCCCTGTGTGCTGCAGCCCTACGCCATCCTCCCAGTCATTGCTATGTGTGAGCCTGTTGTTGTGGACACTGTGTCATTCCATCTCGTTGAGGCTTTCTTCTTTTTTTATCTGTCCCTCTACTTTATCAGGCATGAGGGACAGAGCAGGGAGGACAATTAAAAACTCTCAGTGGGAAAAATGGAGTTGTTTGAAAGCAAGTGGAGTAAGAGAACATAATGATGAATAAATGAACTCATTAAAGCAGTATATATAGAGGACATAGTAAAGATTTTTAGAATAATAAAATAGTAGTATGTTTATATTTGGCCTAAATAGAAATTATAAAGTCAAAAGAAAGAAGAGGTGAGGATGCAAATAAAATTTGAGCCTCAGTTTCCCTTTTAGATTTGTGACTAATGCTTTGTCAAAAAACCCTAGTGCTGTAGAGTCCAGTCAACTTATAGTGACCTTCTGTTGGGTTTCTGAGACTGTATATCTTTTTTTTTTTTTTTAGACTGTATATATCTTAATAAGAGGAGTTTGGCATATTTCTCCCATAGAGCATGCAGTGTATTTGAACTGCTAACCTTTTGGTTATCAATGCAACATGCTGCGCACCATACCAATAGCTCTCCTTTTAATCCTGGAAATTTTGGTGTTAAAAACTGAGCTCTATTATATTTTTTAAAAGAGAAAAGAAAAACAAACCCAGCCAACCCAACAGAGCTCTAGTGTGAAATTGGAGTGCTTGAATAACATGAATGGTTAGTGTGTTTGGCTGCTAAACTGAAAGGTTGGAAGTTTGAATCTATTCCAGTTTACGTCTATATAATCAGCCATTGAAAACCCAGTAGAGTGCAGTGATTCCCTGATAAATATGTGGTCGCTGTAATTGGGAATTACCTTCAGGATAGCTGGTTAGTGAGATATTTCTGGCTTTCATGGGGAATTTCTCCTGGTCATATAGTAAATCAACTCATTATTACTTTAAGAATTGGTATGTTCCTTTTGGAATTTTACTTAATACTTATATGAATAAAATGTTAAAACAAAAATAATTGTTACCTTACTGTTTCAGATTCCGAAGTGTCAAGTCCTTTTACACCAGTTGCTGATGAGGACAGCGTAGTTTTCAGTAAACTAACTTACTTAGGCTGTGCCTCAGTAAATGCTCCCAGGAGTGAAGTGGAAGCTTTAAGGATGATGTCCATTTTAAGAAGCCAGTGTCAGATTTCTCTAGATGTAACTCTCTCAGTACCAAATGTATCTGAAGGAACTGTGAGGTAGGCTGGATTTTTAAGTGTTTTATACTATCAGACCTCTGATCTGTTTTAGAAAGAAACTTTAGTAAACAAAATGTATAATTCATTCATGTAATGTTTCATGTCAAGTATTTGTTGTCTCTTTCATGGATTGTGATCTTCCTAAAAAGTGGCTGTTACAAGATTATTTTTTTTTCTCAGCCACAGTTTTGCATAACATATTGGGAATTTAAATATTTTGGGGATATTGAAATATACTCACCTGAGAATTTCCCTAACAAATTGATTTATACTTTTAGTGTATCTTTAATACAAATACCAGCATGATACAGTTCAACACAGAGCTTCATGTTGAGTTTGTTGTGTTTTATATATATATATATATATATGTGTATATGTGTATATATGTATATATGTGTATATATGTGTATATATATGTGTGTATATATGTATATATGTGTATATATATACACATATATACATATATATTTATATATCATCAAGTTGGAATTCACTGACTCATACATAGTTGACCCTCCGGCAAGTTTTCAGAACAGTATGATCACACAGGATGAGATTACCCATCTTTCTCCTGCAGAGCAACTGGTGGATTTGAACTTGGATGCTTTGATTAGCAACACAGCTCCTTACCACTAAGCCACCAGAGGTCCTTTGCCAATAGGCCACTATAGCTCATCTTGGGTTTATAAATTGCTCAAACTAGTAAATATTAACTTTTAATCCAGTTTCTTAATTTTTAAGATGAAGGAATTGAGATCTAGAAAAGTTTCTAGAACTGAATATTGTTCATTCTAATTAGAACAAATTGCAGCAGTTAAAAATAGCCAGTCATATGTCCATATTAACCAACTAAAATTGCAAAATTACTAAATAATCAGCTGTGCACAGCTAAAATAACCTTTTTTGTTTAAAAATATATTCATTTCTTTTTTTTTAACCAAAACGATAACCCATTTAATGAAAGTATTATAAACTTGGTGGACTGGGGTTTTGTTAAGCTCTAATGAAATAGTTTGTGACGTTTCTATTAAACGGTATGAAACGACATCATCCAAACCTTTTCATATTCTTAAGCTTAAGGTTGAGAAGCATATGCACATAATTTAAGAAAATGCATCCACTTTTCTTTTTTCAATGTATTTGATTCTTGTCCCGCCATAAAGAGTAAGCTCGGTTTCTCTACTATTATCAAACAAAATGAAATCACAGAATAGTCCAATAATGTAATAACAGCAATAAGAAATTTACCTTGTATTCATTATCAAACTCGGCTATAACCCAAAGGGGTAGCTTCAGTTAGCAGGAATTCATTCTCTCACAATTTAACAAAATCCCATGGCTGTTGAGTCAGCTGCAGTCGACTCCTAGCCGACCCTCCACTGGGTTTCTGAGGCTGTCTACCACCCTGGAGGACTGCCCATCTCGACAGTGGTGAATTCAAACCACCACAGAAGCACATACTTTGAGATAGGAGCATAACTCACTATCGAAAAAAAATAAAAATATTCATTTCATAAAAGTCAGCATAAGTCAAAACCAAGACAATTCTTAATTTATTCTCATGAATAAATATAGCTAGCATTTTACTTTAATAAGACCTTTGTATAATTGTATTTGTGCATGTCTTCATGTGTGCACATGCACACACACATACATATATATACACATGGATGCAACTCTTAACATAATCCTTTTTAACGATATGGAAATTTTCTGTCTATCTTATAGCATGCTATTTTAATTCTGTATCATGAACCTTTGTCAGTATATTTGATTAAAACATTTAATTTATAGTGACTATGAATAGGTTTTATAACCAGTTTTCTACTAAACATTATAGTTTTGATTTAATAGAGGAAATACTAAAAATAATAGCTAATAAACTTTATATTCCTCCTGCCAGATACTGGCATACAAATGCATATAATTATCTAAAATATAGATGAGTTGGTTGTTTTTTTTTAAAAAAAAAAAGATATTTTTGAGAATAATCTTTGTATACCTCTTTTTCTTTTTATTTTCTTAAATTCTAAGGAGGATACTTTTTGCCCTATTTTTATTGCTTTTAATAAGTTTTCAAGGAGCCGTCTAGAAATGTTGATCAAGTTTTTCCTTTTGCCAGCAGTATTTGAAAGTAACTGTTGTTCAGTATACTCAGAAGCGTTTTAAATTTCTTGGTAGTAGAGTTGTAGCTGTGTGTGAATACCAGTGGTTGATATAATGGTTATCTACATATGAAATCTTCCCTTATGTATTTGAAGAACTATTTTACAGATTCACAGATTTCAGTTCTCATTGTATATATTGATGCAAAACCGTTAATAAAATATGTTTACTTCTCTTAGTATTTCTCAGTCAACATACAGTCTCTCCCTCAATGATAAATGATAACTTTAGTTATCATTTGTTCTAATAGATTTTAAATCTGGAAGTAGACATAGGTGTTTCCTACTGCTAATTTAAAGGATGCGAAAGAAGCTTGGCAATCTGCTTGTGTTACTCTCACAGCCCTTTGGGCAATTTTATCTATACTTGGGATCAACTATGAGTTGGACTAGACTCAATGGCAACTTGGAACAATAATAAAAGGATTAAGGAAGCCCATTTCTCTTGCATCAGGCTTCTGGAGTTTTTAATCAAGCGCGGGTTAGGGGCCCTTTCTAGGGGCTTGCATTATGCTCAGGGACCCCTAGCTTTCCCCTGTCAAAGTGACTTTACTTGTGCCATGTTGAAATAGTGTCATTTCTTTTCATACATTTTAGATTTCTTTATTCAGTGCTCAAAGGGGGAGACTGGCATGTTGTGTCCCAGGAGTCTTTGTTAAGTGAAGAGAGTTTCAAATGAATGCTGCTTTTTCATTTTGAATACATGGTATTCTTTTTATTTTAGTAATACTCCACTGTTTGGGGTCTTGTTTTGTTTTGTTTTGTCTTGAGAAGTTAACATTTTTTACATCTCTTTATTTACTTTCATTCAGAAAACATTTCACTATGAGGAAGAACATCAGTTTTGATTGTTTCAAAGAACAAAACAGATTAGGTCATTCTCCTCAAAAATAATCTGAAGCATAGCTCTGATTATCTGTATCTATAATCTGTCCATTGATCTAGTCTTTATATAGTTACAGATTTTAAAGTACTATTTGGAGTTACTAATCTGTATTTACTTTTCTGCTTGCTTCTTCAAAATGTAGACTATTTAACGTTTATTATCTGATTAAGATTAACGTGATTTTCTTGCTATAATGTAAGTATTAATGATAATCTGAAGATGATACATCTTAATTCTCTATATATTCTTTTCTAAACAGACTCTTAGATCCTCAGACAAACACTGAAATAGCCAACTATCCTATCTACAAAATTCTTTTTTGTGTCCGAGGACATGATGGAACTCCTGAGAGTGACTGTTTTGCTTTCACTGAAAGTCATTATAATGCAGAGCTCTTCAGAATACACGTTTTCCGGTGCGAAATACAAGAAGCTGTAAGTCCGTAGGAGAAAACTGGCTGCAGTTGAAACTTCATCAGTGCCCTCACCAGGTTGAAGTGATTACATTGTTATGGCCACTCATCAGTCAGATTACAGTCTCTGCTTGTGCTTTAGTAATGTCAGCCTTCTGGCCCTCAATATCAATAAAAATCAGGTTAACCCAGACTCTTATTGCTTAGAAGTGTCAGATGGGACCATTTGGCAGCTTCTCAGTTGGTTAAGATAGGTGTCGGGGTTCCAACTCTTAACATCTTTGCAAAGCTTTGTTGAGAGCTATTTTGTTAAAGCTATTTATATTATTATATTGCTGCATGTTGCAAGGAGGAACCAGTCTTTGGAGAGAGACATCATGCTTGGGGGGATGGAGGAACAGTGCAAGAGAGGAAGACCCTCAGTTAGGATTGATTCAGTGACTGCGGTAATGGGGATAGGTGTATTACAGACAATAAGGTTGGCTCAGGATAAAGCAGGCTTCAGAGCTCTTGTACTTAGGGTCCCTATGAGTCAGTAACAATGACAACAAGGAGCTCTGGTGGCCTAGTAAGAAGCTGTGCTGCAATTCGAAGGGCACACCAGTTCGAGGCCACCATTTGCTCTGCGAGAGAAGGATGGGCAATCTCCTCTCGTGTAATTAATTGCCTCTGAAAACCCTTCAGATGGTCTGTTAGGAGTCAGTTCTGACTCAACAGTACACAGCAACAACAACTAGATACAATATGTTTTTATATATAATGTATGATATTTTTTTTATTATTTTAGACATAATATGCTCAGATTCTGATAATTTGGCAAACCATTTTTTCAGTTATATTTTAAGTGTGTGTAATAGATTCTAGAAACTCCTACTCTGGCCATTTTTAGTGTAGCTTGGTTTATAGCCAATTGTTATTAAGTTGTTTGTGTTAGATAATTTCTCAAAATAAGATTTATCACTCTCCTTTTCTTAATCCTTTATAAGGTAGATAGCCTTGAGAACCTGATAATGGATTGTTTTTAAAATGTCTGATCATATATGACTTTAGGTAAGCCGGATACTTTACAGTTTTGCCACTGCCTTCCGCCGTTCTGCCAAGCAGACCCCACTTTCAGCAGCGACCGCACCCCAGACTCCAGACAGCGACATCTTTACCTTCTCTGTGTCTTTAGAAATAAAAGAAGATGACGGTAAAGGTTATTTTAGGTAGGGCATCTGATTTGAGTTTGTATTAACATGATATATTGCCTGTGGTTCAGAGACAACTGTAAGTTTGATTATATAATTTTAAATACATTGCTTTTAAAAGAAATGGGTAAATTTGTAGAGGCAAGAATTGAAGAGTTTTGAATCAATATAAAATCCTTAAAGGGGGCAATTTTTTTATATTATGTCCTTTTAATGAAATTCAGAGTAGCTGGTTGACTGCTAATGTGAAATAATGACAGAAGCTCAGTAAGATGAATTTGGAGTTGTATTTGTTTGTCTTTTTTCATGACCTAAAGAATAAGGTTGCTCCAGTCAAGTTTACATTGAAGTTATTAGAACAGATTGGAAAAGGAAATAGGAGATCTGTACTTGAAGTCTGTCCTTTCATATACAGTTAGGAAAAACTCATTTGGGTTTTTAAGTAGCATTTTTTCGTCTCTAATGGAAGAACATTGTAATAAAAATGAAAACTTTAGTTATTGCTGCTGTGAACTGCTATGACCTTTTCTAAAGCTCTTTATTTATTTTGGTAGTAATTTTTCTTATTTATGAAATAAAATGGCTAGTCTTTAAAATCCTTCCTAACTAAAATTTATGATTTTAAGGTGACATGGATTTTTTTGAGGTTTTTTTTTGTTTTCTTTATGGCCCATATCACAAAATGATTGCTTCCTGGGATCATAATTAATAGTTACATGTGGAAATTGCTTTTCTCCAACATTACTTATGGTGAAATAAAATTACATCAAAATATGCATGCTTTCTAATAGGTTGCTTTTAAATTTAAAAACACAAGTGGTCTGTTTACCTGCTAGGAAAATGGTTAACTCTTCATCTGCCCTTCAGAGATTTGGAATTGTCTTGCCCTCTGGTGGCCAATTTTGTGTACTTTGCAGCTTCAGCTGTGATTTGAATGCTGGAAGCATGAGGAGGCATTGTGTTGTATCCTTTCTTGTAGATAGATTTTTGTCTTCATAGGGACACTGTGAAGTACCATGTATCCCTTCCCTGGAAAGTTTAAATTGTAATATGTAATCATTTTAATGGTTTTGGTGGTTTTACCCCCGTTTTAAAGAAAAAAGTATATTCTTAAAACTGTTGTTGAGGGAATTTCCCCTCAATTTAAGGAAGAAATGTATGTAGATTCTTTCCATCAGACCTATCAACAGGAAAGATTTCCAAGATCTCAGAGGAAAGAACAAGGATTCTGTTTTCTGAAGTGAGGATTTTCTGTGTAAACAGGGACATCCCTGCTCCATTTATCCTTATTTCAAGGAATGCTTTGTGTGGAAAATTCCTAGATGGCTTGATTTTTTTTTTCACATTTGTTAAAACTTGTTTCCTGATTATTGCATGGTTTTACTTAATCTGTAGTTTATAATTTTTTAAAAAATAGTTTAGGTAATATAGTGATGAAATAATGGAAAAGTATACCTTTGTCCAATTTGAACTTCTTGTCAAACTTTTGTTAAGAACTTTCTTTTACTAAGTAATTCTGTAATATGTGGAAATAGTCTTATAATGTGTCTGTGAGTAGAATATTTTAGAGAAATAATTAAGGCCCCCAGAAAATTATCAACATGAATGGTCATAATACTGTGTAAATGATGACCTTAAAAAATGTAAATATCTGGTGAGCAGATTGTTGTGGTGGTGTACCAAGGAGTTGGATCTGACCCATAGCTGACTCTCCAGAGGATTTTCAGAGGCAGTTAATCACGTTGGAGGAGATTGCCCATCCTTCTCCCGAGGAGCAGCTAAATAGATTAGGATTGCTAAAATAGGATGGTATGCCAGTATATACAAAGTACATACAAAGATGTATGTAATCAATCATAATGTAAGAGAAACTAGTTTCTCTGTAACATCAAATTAGAGATAAAATCCTTTTAGTCAAAAACAAAATTAAAATAAAGCAATGTTGGAGGAATGAATATGCTCCTTTCCCCTTTTCTTCTTTCTTTTCTTGTGTGTACCGTCAAATTGAATCTGACTGGTATAGCAGGAGATTGCCCCTCCTTCTCCAAAAGAGCAGCTGGTGGGTTCGAACCATGCGCCTTTGAGATTGTAGCACAGCTTCTTGCCACTGGGCCACCAGAGCTCCCTGGAATGGATATTTTTCTAAAACTACCTCTCAGTTTAACCTTTCAAAATGCAAGCTTTTTAATTTATATACAATCTGAACTACCTCCCCCCCCTTTAATTTGTCAAAAAAATCTTGTTAGGTAGGTTAGGCAATTGATAATTTTCTTTACTTATTAAAGAAATTAAGAGAAGTTAAGATTGGACTTTAAACAAGAATCTAAATGTAAGGGAGCTCTGGTGGTCAAATCTAATTTGATGGTACACACACACAAAATAATAAAATTAAAAAAAATCTAAATGTAAAATTTTCTCCTTGAATTAATTCATGAGCTGGTGATAAAGTAAAAAATAAAATCAGAATCCCCTGACATTTGGTGAAATGAAGCCCTGTCAGTTCCATTCTCCATTCTTCCTTTTAATGCTGCTTTTCTTTGCCCTTCAGACTCTGGATACCAGAAAATTTGGGATCTATTTGTTGTTACTAGAATTTTTAAAACCTCCAAGAGATGAGATTTTACTGATATTTCATTATCCATACAACTTTGTTGTTATATTCTGTCTAGAACCAACTAGCAGGGTTTTAAATTGCATGGGAGTTGCTTGCCATCTTTCTTTCGCAGAGCGGCTGATGGTTTCTAACTGTGTACCTTTGAGATGGAATCACACATTCTTACCACTTGGCTGGCAGAGCTCCCTATCCATATAACATAGAAAACAATATATCTGTAATCAGTTCTAAATTCAAAGTGGAGACCCATTTTTTGCTTTTGCTTTAGAAGTGAAGTTCCATCAACTGTAAATATTTAACAGTTTGGTATGCATAAATTTCCCTTGCAAATAAATAATAATAATTTCAAGACTTACTTTATTTTAATATACTTTAGTTTTCTAATATAAATGTTAGAAACTGGACTTGAATTGGCTGCTGCTGTATACATGCTAATGGGCTTCACCTGGTTAAATTTGTATTCTTCAGCACTGTACTTTAGTTTGTATAGATTCTCAGAGCTATTGTACAGCCATTTATATTATCTTTAGCTCTGATAGCCTAGTGATAAGGAGCTGTGCTGCAATCCCAAAGGCTAACAGTTCAACTTCATCAGCTGTTCCACAGGAGAAAAATAGGCAGTCTCCTCCTGTGTGATTAAAACTGTCTGAAAACCCTTTGGAGGGTCAGCTGTGGGTTGGTTTTGACTTAACAGTACACAGCAGCAACAGCTATTGAAGTTCTGTTGTCATTATTTTAAAGTTACATGGAAATAAGACACAATTTATACCTGACTGACACAATTTATATTGACTGACTTCCATTGGCAATTGCTTCTCTTGAAGAATAAATAGCTAGAGAAAAGGGGTATATGAGGAAATAGAGGATTATTTTGGTAAGCAGATATTTTAAGAATATTTTCATGGGTTTTGTTCAACTGATGTTAATTAACTATAGCAATTGTTTTCTTAAAAATATTTATAGTATTAAAAAACTCTGGTGGCCTAGTGGTAAGAAGCTTCGCTGCCAACTCAAAGGTGCATGGTTTGTCTGTACCAGTTGCTCAGAGGGAAAAGGGTGGGCAATCAACTCCTGTTGTTGTTTACCATCTAGTCACTACCAACTCATAGCTGACCCTCCAGTGGGTTTTCAGAAGCAGTAAATCGCACCAGAGGAAAAAAATCTTTGAGTCAGATTTGATTTGAAGGCACCTAACCGTAACGACAGAAAAAATGGATAATGGTTAGATAATAGTTTGATGTATACTGTATCTTCACCCTCACTATTATTTTAGAGATTCTTAAAGATTGTGTTGAAATTCAGGTATCCATGGCATGGTGCATAATATATTGGGCTGCCAATTGAAAGAGCAGCAGTTCCAACCCACCAGCCATTTGTTGGGATAATAATAGGCAGTCTCCACTTCCATAAAAATTTACAACCTCTAAAATATGCCAGGTGATCACTGTTAGTCAAAACCAGGTACACAGCAGTGCACTTGTGGGTTCTGTTGTTACTGTTTGTTTTTTTATTGAAATTAAAAACATCTATAATTAAGTGTATGGGTTTTTTCCTCATTATTAACTTAAATACAGCTACTGTCTTATTCGTTCAAACCAGTGATCAAATAAAAAAAGGGAACTGACAATTTTTTTTTAGAACCTATGTACGTATGAGACATGCTGGATGTTTTATTGTTGTTTTGTGTACCTTCAAGTCAGAACTGATCCATAGCTGACCCTCCAGCAGGTTTTCAGAGGCAGTAAATCACATGGGAGGAGACTGCACATCCTTCTTTCATGGAGCAGCTGGTAGATTTGAACTATGTTCCTTTGGGATTACAGCACAATCTTTTATCACCAGGTTACTAGATGCTCTGTAGATACTTAATTTTTCACAGCAACAAAAAAGAAATCACAAGCCACATTTTTAGGAGGTGTCTCAGAACTCAGTTGCTGTCAAATTGCAACATAGTTAATCCTCAGGATTATAAATTGCATGCAGAGGAAACTGCCCATCTTTCTTCTAGTGCCACAGAGGCTAACAGCTCAACTCCCTATAGCCTAGGCCACTAGAGCTCCCTTTAATGATGTGTAGAAGTGATTTTCCTAGTTTTTAAAAGTCTTTTTGTGAATTTAAGAATTGAAATAAGTGCTTGCTTCGGCAGCACATATACTAAAATTGGAACAATACAGAGAAGATTAGCATGGCCCCTGCGCAAGGATGACATGCAAATTCGTGAAGCGTTCCATTTTTTTTAAAAAAAAAGAATTGAAATAAGTTACAGTATTTTCCCATCAAGAGGTAGATAATGGATATTTTATCTTTATCATTATTATTATTATTATTATTATTACTGGAAAACAGCCAAATGAAAGAATTATAGATTTGAGATGTTTGTTTTAAAAAGAAATTGTTCATGTACATATATGACAAGAAAGTACTGTACAAAATTAATGAAACATGTTGGTTTACAGTGCAGTTCCCAAAGATAAGGACAGACAGTGCTTTAAACTACGCCAAGGAATTGATAAGAAGATTGTCATTTATGTGCAACAAACAACTAATAAAGAACTTGCTATTGAAAGGTAAGCATTTTATTAATGATATGGTAAATACCAATTTTGATTTTTGATAGTTTAATGAAAAGTATCTGGCTTGAGCTAGCTTTATGTGTATTGTGAACTATGGATCTTGTTTAAATTTTCTGCAGATAGATACCCAATTTTAGCAGCACCATTTGTTAAAGAGGCTGTCTTTTCCCCACTTAATGTGTTTTCTCTTTGTCAAAGAACAGGTGTCCATAGGTGCATGGATTTAGTTCTGATTTCTCAATTCCATTTCATTGTTGTGTATATGTGTCACATCACCAGTACTAAGCTGTTTAGATTAGTGCCTGGAGACCAGTAGATTTGAGATCGGGAAGTAAGTGTGTAAGACCTACTACTACTTTTTCAGTTGTGCTTTGCTTATCCAAGACTTCTTTCCTTTCCACTATAAATTTGGGGATTACCTTTTTTATCTCTTTGAAAAATGATAACAGAATCTTTGCTGACATAGCATTACTATCTATAAGTTAATTCTGGTAGTAGTGTGATTTTTCACAAAGTTAAATCTTCAATCTGTGAGCATGGTATAGTATTCCATGTTTATAATTCTCTTTGCATTTCTTGGTGTTTTGTAGTTTTCTTTGTATAGGTCCTTGGTATCTTTGTTTATATTTTTTTCTGAATATTTCACATTTTGAGTGACTGTTATAAATGCTATTCTTTTCTTTATTTCCTTCTCAGAGAAGAAGGTTCTATTTTTTGTGTGCTTATCTTGTACTCTGCCATTTTGCTTAATTGTTATTGTTGTTAGGTGCCATTGAGTTGAGCATGACTCATAGTGACCCTATGAACAAAAGAGCTGAACTCTTCTATCCTGTGCCATCCTTACACTTCCTGACACACAAGAGCCAATAACAGTAGTTACTATGTCAATCCATCTGGTTGAGGGACGACTTCTCCTTCACCAGCCCTCCACCATTCCCAACATCATGTCCCTATCAAAGGAATAGTCCCTCCTAGCAATGTGTCAAAAGTATGTGAGCCAAAGCTTCATCATTCTTGCCTCCAAAGTGTGCTACATGGTGGAGGGGACCTGGGGGAGGGTTTGTAAAACAATGAAAGAATCTTTTCTTTAACTTTTCCATAATTTTTGGACTCATGTACTTATAACTTGTTAGTCAAATTTGTGTCTTCTAGGTTGCAACACCCCCGTGATACATCTTGAAGGATATGTACATGTATGGCCAAGCACAATCAATAAGATTGCATCTGAATTCCAAAATCAATCTCCATAATAGTCTATGTGTTTCCTACTGCCAAAGGGGCCCTTTAGAGTAGTGAGAGAAGATCTTCACCCTGAAACCCACAGCGCCCCTTTTCAGCAGGAAGTAGCTAAGAGAATACGCCATCCCCTTTTCCTTATGACTCAGGGTGAAGTCTCTCTCAGGGAGGAGTGATAGGGAATGGCAAAGGACACACTGACAAAGAAGATTAATCAGAACTGGCTTTGAGAAGCACTGTGGCATTTGGACAAGAACAAACTGGGAGGAGGGTAGAGAGAATAGTGCAACAATGAATGAGTGGAAGCTCAACTTTAGTTATCATTTGTTCTAATAGATTTTAAATCTGGAAGTAGACATAGGTGTTTCCTACTGCTAATTTAAAGGATGCGAAAGAAGCTTGGCAATCTGCTTGTGTTACTCTCACAGCCCTTTGGGCAATTTTATCTATACTTGGGATCAACTATGAGTTGAACTAGACTCAAAATCTCTGTAAATGTTTATGAAAATTAATAAAATATAATTATAGAAAATAAAAAACAAAAAAAACAACAAAGTGTGCTCCGGCTGCACCATCTCCAAGACATATCTGTTCATTCTCTTGGCCATCCTTGGGATGTTCAGTGCTCTTCTCCAACACCACAGCAGCTCAAAGGCATCATTTCTTTTTCTGTCATCCTTATTTTTGTGTAGTCAGTTATATCCAATAATTTTATTGCTAGTTTATTTTATATACATAGGATTGTATCACCTGCACATAGACCTAGTTTTACCTCTTCTTTAGCAATTTGGATGCCTTTGATATCCTTTTCTTGCCGTACTGCTCTGGCTAAGACTTTAATACCATTTTGCATAGAAATGGTCATAAAAGGCATCCTTTTACGGTTCTCATTGGTAAACAGAATGCCTTCAGTTGGTCTCCATTGAGAATAATGTTGGCTGTTTATTTTGTATATCTGCTTTTAATTATTTTGAGAACTTTCCCTTCAGTTCCTGTTTTGTTAAGCATATTTAATCAGGAAAAGATGTTGAATTTTGACAAATAACTTTTGTACATCAATTGATAGGGTCATGTGCTTCTCTTTGTTTTGTTGATATGATGGATTATATCAATTGTTTTTTTCTCATGTTGAACTATCCTTGCCTATGCTAGGAATTTTAGAGAATTTTTTCATCTATGTTCATGAAGAATATTTTTTTTACATGTCTTTCATTGGCTTTTGTATCAGGATTCTGCTTGTCTGATAAATTCAGAAATACTTAGTTTTTTTCTGTATTCTTACATAGTTTGGATAGTATTGTTATCAGCCCTTCTTTGCATGTTTGGTAGAATTTACTGGTGAAGCCATCTGAGCCAGGACTTTTTTTAAAAAATACTTTTAGAATGTATTTATATGACCCACTCAATTCAATCTTTTGTGATGGACTTATTCAAATATTCTACCTCTCTGTAATAATTTAGGGAGGCACCGAGTTTCTGAAAATGGGTCCATTTCTCCTAGGTATTCAGATTTGTTGGAATATTGATCTGGATGGTACTACTGTCCTTTTTATTTCAGTTGCTTTTGTTGTTATATCACCCATTTAATTTCTTGCTCATGTTATTTGCATCTTCACTTTTTTCTTAGTTAAATTTTCCAGTAGTTTGTAAATTTTATTAATTTCTTTCGGAAAAGTAACTTCTAGTCTTATTGATTCTTTTTTTCTGGTTTTTATTTCATTTATTTCTGCTTTTTTCCCTTCTATTTATTTTTGCTTTTACACTTATTTTTTCCTTTCTCCTGGAATCTGTCGACTTTGCTTACTGCACTCTTTTTGTAGCCATCAAAGATGTTAAGATGCTGACTTGGATTCTCTCTTCTTTTTTGATGTTGCTGTTTACTGCTATAAATTGACCTCTGTATACTGCTTTTATTATATCCCAAGGATTTTGGTATGTTTTTGTTAATTCTCATTTGTTTCAAGAAATCTTCAATTTTTTTTTCATGTCTTTCTTACTCAGTAGGGGGAGGTCTGGTGATATAGTCCATAGTGAGTTGTGCTGCTAACATAAAGGCACATCTCTAGCAATTCTCATCTACCAGCAACTCTGAGAGAAAAATATGGAAGATGTGCAGCCTCCTTCCTTTGGATTTGTAGCCTCAAAAAACCAGCACCCAATGAAAGGGTACTATGAGTCAGTATTGACACAGTGGCAGTGAGAATGAATAGGTGGCCTAGTGGCAAGAAGCTGTGCTGCAATCCTGAAGGCATGAAGTTCAAGGCCACCAGCTGCTCTACAGGAGGTTGGGCAGTCTCCTCTCATGCAATTAATTGTCTCTGAAAACCCACCAGAGGGTCAGCTATGGGTCGGTTCTAACTCAGTGGTACACAATAACAACAATTGAAGCAGAGTCTTATTTTGTTTCTATCTCTTGATTCCCGCCCCCCCCCCCCAATATCTTTCTGTTGTTGATAGTTTTTGGAGAAGATTCTTTGTAGTATTTTGATGGTTTTTGATTTATTGAGGCTTGCTTTGTGACCTAACATATGGACTATTCTGGCTAATGTTCCTTGTGCACTGGAGTTGCCTGGAGTGTTGTTCTATATATGTATGCAAAATCAAGCTTGCTAATTGTATTACTTACTTTTCTGCATCTTTTTTCCTTTTTAAATTAATAGACATTTACAGAGGTTTTGGATTTCCATTCATTCATTGCCGCACACTTTTCTGCATCTTTACCGAGTTTCTTTCTAGTTCTGTCTCTCATCAAAAGTGGTGTGTTGAAGTTTGTACTGTTTTTGTGGGGTTTATTAATTCTCCATTAAATACCTTAAAGTCTGTTGGTTTTTTGTTGTGGATTTTTGTTTTTTTTTTATCTTGCAGTTCTCATTGGGTGAGTAGATTTAATTATAGATACTTTCTTTTGTCTAATTGACTCTGATGATTATATTACCCCTTTCATTGTCTCTTTAGTTTGTTATTTACTTGGAGGTCTATTTTACTAGAAAATAATGTTGCCACACCTGCTCCTTTTGGAGCCATTTGCAGTCTTTAATCAGTCAGGTCGAAAAGGAGTTTGTCTTGACTCTTGCCTGCTTGTTGAAGCTGCAGGAGGTATATATATATATGGCTGGATACTGTTGTTTTCTGTTGTCAAATGAAACAGAGAGAAAGGGAAACAACATTTAAAAAAAACCACATCATTTAAAAACAAACAGAAGATTGGGCAATAAGAGAAAATAGAAAAATCATAACTGAGAGGAATAGAAAGGGACAGAGAATCAAAGCAGAAAGGTTAAAAAGGGAGAGAGAAAAAACTTGCAAGGGAATGAAAACAGAAGATGAGCTGGTAGAGAAGAAATGAGGGGGGAAACTTACACACCCAGACTAGGACACAATAGCAAGCAACCAAACAAAGTATCTGAAAAGCAATAAAAAAGGAAAGAAATTATAGGAATAACTTTGGAGAGGGCAGATTGGGCACCTAATTGGTACTCTTAGAATTTCTATTTTTGGCAGAGACAAGATATTTGGCCTGGGACAGTGGGATAGTTGTGTCTGTGTATCTGGTAGATTAGTTTTAGGGTGTCTAGTTAGGTCAACTTTTATTCTTTTCTGGGAGGTGGCTATTCCTCAAGATAGGATCCAGTCTTATCTTTCCAGTAATAGAAAGGTAATATATCAATCCTAGTTTGAATTTTCAGTTAGTCTCAGTAAAGCCCAAGATTATCTCCCTCGCAAGAGTTGGTGTCTTTTCCAATCCAGGGAAAGAGTGCAAACAAGGTAGCAGTCAGAGATACATAAGGTGAAGAGATCCCGCCAACCTTATATGCCCAAGCATAGTGCATTATATGGAGGGTACACTCCTGCCAGCCAAAGGATCTGTATGAATGTCCAGTAAAAGAAAAGGACCCCAGTGATGGTGTCCACACCAATTCAGAGGCTGGCTGCAAGCAAGGATTACATATTGTGCAGGCTCCTGGAAGGAATCTCTGAACATAGAATCTTGTTCAGCCCTGTGGCACAGTATAAAAAAATTACACAGAACTGGTGCCAGGTGGGGCCAGGAATCATCAAGAAAATACTGCCAGCTACCTAGTGGGTGGTGAAGGTGTGGGAATACCACTCTCTTGATCCTCAGGTACACATGAGTCCACAAGGAGAGAGGTGACACCTTTCCATTCATTAACCAGCTGCTGGTGTGAATACCACCACTGTCTCAGGTTCCAGCACTTAACCAGCCAGCTGTTCAGAGTTGCTGCACTGCCATGTTTACACTTCTGTGCTTTGTCATCTTGTTTGATGTTTTAATTTAATTTCTTACTCCTTTTAAACTGAGAGATTCAGAATTATCTTCTGTGTCTATTATCATTGTTTTCTGGTGTCTTAGTTGAAGAGTATCTGTGCTGTTTGTCTTTTCATGTTACCTGTTGGAAGTTTAGTTGATACTTCTAATTTAATGTCTTATTCCTATCAATAAGATTTTAAAAGTAAATAAAGGACCCTCATGTCATAATTTGTAAGTACTGCATTGCTAAGCTAAAAGTCAGTGATTTGAATTTACCTTACTTCCTAGGAGAAGCGTATGTACTCTTCTACTGTGAAGATATATCCTTGGAAACTTGGTGGGAGTTGGGAACTGACTCAGCGTAGTGAGATTGAGTTAGTTTAATTTAAATACTCTTTTGTGGGTTTTTCCCCCCTCCAGATTAATGTCTGTTCTTATTTGACAGGTGTTTTGGTCTTCTTCTCAGTCCAGGAAAAGATGTACGAAATAGTGATATGCACTTGCTAGATTTGGTAAGAATTTCTTTTTACTCAAAAGTGATATACTATTTCCTCAATAAAAGTTATTTCACTTCATCTCATCTGAATTTGATATAAAAATAAGTTTATTAACATATCCTTATAAGCAGTAAAGTAACATACAAAGATAAAACTTCCTTATTCCTGACTTGGTTTATCTTTTAAGAAACCAACTTTGGTTTCTTAACTACATAGTGGTCCTGATAATTATTTATCTGTCACATTGTTGCATTGTTGTAGTTGACTCATAGTGACCCTATGAGCAAAAGACCAGTGCTATACCTAGAAAAGGGTTTGACCAAAAACAATTAAAAGCAGGCCTGAGGGACTCAGATTAAAATCATCCACCTTTGGCTTGGTAGCATCACTTTCTTTCCATTAGGCCAACTGAGCGCTCTCTTTGTTGTTGTTGTTTAATGCCATTGAGTTGTAGGAGACTCATAGTGACCCTGTCTGTCACATAAGGCTGATAAAAAAAAAAATTCAAAGGAGAGTATTGAGATAATTCTTTGCAAATTCTAATATGTTTTATAAATGGTAGGCAGTATTAGTAATACTGCTATTACATGGAAATCTTTACACAACTAAAAATTATGTGCTAAAAATTATTTGGTAGAAGAACTCATCCTAGGATTTAGATAATGAATTTCCATAATGTTTCTACACTTAAAGGTATTCCATTTCTATGTCTTATTAGAAACAATTTTATAAACAATGGGTACATCTTTAATTTGAACTATAATTATTCACCATCACTTTTACATTTTTATATCTAATACATTCTTTACTTTCACAGCTGTGTATTTAAAGACAAAAATAAAGGTTCGCTACTATTACTCATTTTGGCATTTTTATTATTATTCGTTTTCTTTAGGAATCTATGGGCAAAAGTTCAGATGGAAAATCCTATGTTATTACTGGGAGTTGGAATCCAAAATCTCCCCATTTTCAAGTTGTAAATGAAGAAACTCCTAAAGGTGCTGAGTTTCCCAACTGTGACATTCATTTCTAATAATACGCAGATTGCTGACATCATGAACAGACATTTTAGCCCCAAGAAGATAATTCCGTATAAGAGGACCACTGTTTGATCAGTATCCAGTGCTTAAATTAAATGTGGTAAAACCCCTACAGTTTGAATAGTGTTTTTAGTTTATTTATAAATCTGACCTATGAACCAAAGTATCTTATTTTCCCAAAGCATTTTCTTTTTCTGTCTCCTCTTTGCTGTTCTCTTCCTGTCTTGTTTTTCTTCCTTTCTGTTTATTTATACACTTAAAGATTTACTTTTGTGCAGAGGTAATACATATGCACATGGTTTAAAAAGCAAGAGTTATAAAAGTACATTTAGAAAAATGAGTCTAACAGTTCCCAGGATCTCATTGAAAAACTACTCTTAACAGTTTTTCACATAGAATTTCATAGATATTCTATGCATAAGCAACTTTTTTTTTTAAAATACTTTACACTCTTCTTGAATGTAATTTATTATCTGCATAATATTTCATCCTGTGACTCTAAGATTATTTGCTTAATTTGGTGGCTTAGTGGTAAGAAGTTGGCTACTAACCCACAGGCATGGTGTTCAAATCCACCAGCTGTTCCGAGGGAAGTAGATGAACAGTCTCCTCCTGTGTGACTAATTGTCTCTAAAAACCAATTGGAAAATCAGCTATGAGTCAGTTCTGACTCGGTGCACAACAACAATCATACCTCTTCAGCATATATTTCTCCTACACATTTTTCTTAAGAATAATGCTATAAAAAATTGATAAAGTTTATAAATAGATAAATCACAGCTGATTAACAAATAGTAGGTAAATCTGCTCTTAGTGGTAATGAGAAATTAAAAAGATAAGATTCTTTCTAAACCAAGATTTTGAAAGTTGAAACTTTACAGTGTTGATCACGATGACATAAACCATATGTAATTTTGAGAAAACAGACAGTGTCTAAGGTTCTACCCAAGAAAATGGTTTCTGATACAGAATTTTTTTTTCTTAAGAAAGTGATTTGTGTAATTATATTAGGTTTTTATTTGATGATTTACCTTAAGATAGTTTTGTTGTTGTTGTTGTTGTTGTTGTTGTTGTGTACAATTGAGTTGGAACCAACCCATAACTGACCCACCGACCAGTTTGCAGGCGTGGGAGGTCCTGTCCCTCTTCAAAGGAGCAGCTGGTGGATTTGAACCATGTGCCTTCAGGATTGCAGCGCAGCTTCTTGCCACTAGGTCACCAGTGCTCAAGATAGCTTTAAAATTTGTAGGAACAGTAATCACTTTTGCATACATACTAGTAAGACAGTTCCCCTTTCTTACTTGTTTCTCTCCTCTCTCTGTCTCTAGATAAAGTACTGTTTATGACTACCGCTGTTGATTTGGTAATAACGGAAGTACAGGAACCTGTTCGATTTCTCCTGGAAACAAAAGTTCGTGTTTGTTCACCTAATGAAAGATTATTCTGGCCCTTCAGCAAACGTAGTACTACTGAAAATTTCTTTTTGAAACTGAAGCAGGTACTATTTTTTTGTTTTGTTTTATAAATGTGATGAATAGAATGAGTATACAGAGAAAGGAGAAATCAGTTCCAGGACTGATTTATCTAGCTGTCAGATCTTTAAAAGTCTAGGGGGAAAAATTTTTTTTTATATATACCCACTTATTTACCACATTTGTTAATTTTCATTTCTTTCTGATGATTCACATTTTATCTGGTATCATTTACTTTTCATTTTTGTAGGGAAATCTCCCTTGCAATTAAACTGCCTCTGAAAACCTGCTGGAGAGTCAGCTATGAGTTAGTTTCAACTTGACTTGATGGTACATAATAGGAACCTATAGGGAGCTCTGGAAGCATATTCCATAGAGCTGTGCTGCTAAACTAGCGGCAGACAATTTGAATCCACCAGTTCAAATCCATCAGAAGTTCCGCCAGAGAAAGATGGGCAATCTCTGCCACGTGATGTACAGCCTCAAAAAACCCAGTCGTGGGTCAGCTTCAACTCAGTGACCAAGCAGGCTTTTTTGTAGGATTGTGGACTGACATTTCTTTCCTTCCAGCCCTTTAATTATGCCACTCCATAGCCATTAGGCTTCCACTGTTTATGATGAGAAATCACCATTAATTTCTATGGCTGCTGCTCTGTATGCATTTTTTTTCTAGCTCCTTTTAAGATTATTCTCTTGATGTTTGGTTTTCAGTTTACTTAAGTGTGTTTTTTTAAATTTTATAATGAAATATAAGTTACTAATTATAATTTATAAATTATTTAATGCTATAAAGATGTCACAGTTTTAGGTTTGGAGAAAATCTCAATCCTGTAGTTTCTTCTATTAATTTCTTACAAAGTGTGATACATGTCCATTTGTTATAATTGATAAACAGATTGTATTATGTTATTAAGTAAAGTTCATAGGTTCCATTAAGATTTATTTTTTATACTCATGACTCGATTAATGTAGACAACATCATGCTAGATATAGTAGATTCAAGTTGGCAAGGGTTTCATTTTACTTGGATACACAGTCAATATCCATGGTTATAGCAGTTAAGGAATTGAAAGATGTATTACATTAGAAAAATTTGTTGTCAGGGACCTGTATGATGTGCTGAAGAGCAAAAGTATCAATTTAAAGAATAAGGTGAGACTTACCTAAGCCATGGTATTTTCTGTTGCTTCTTATGCATCTGAAAATTGGGTTAGAAATAAAGATGATGGAAGAATCAATAATTTTGAATTATGGTGTTGGAAAAGAATACTAAATATCCTAGGGTGTACCAAAAGAGCAAACAAGTCTGTCAAGGAAGAAATGCAACCAAGTTGCTTCTTAAAGCCAAAGACAGTGAAACTTTGTCTCACATATTTTTGGGCATGTTTTCAGGAGGGACCAGTCCTTGGAGGTAGACTTCATACTGGGAAGGATGGAGGGTCAGAGAGAGAGAAGATCTTCAGTGAAATAGTGGGCTTTACTATGTTAGAGATCGTGTGAACGTTGTGAAGCTCTGATCTGTTCATGGGGTTGCTATGGGTTGTAGTTGACTTGAGGGCACATGACATCACCACCACAATGAATTAATCTTCTTAGGACCTTCCCCCTTTTCTGTTGTTTTTTATTTTGTTTCTGTTCTTCTGCTTGATATAGCCACCTTTCTGATTTTCTCTGTATCTTTTTTTTTTTATTTCAAGTTCATTTTCTTCCTGCTTTGTCATACTCCTTTCTTATCCTCCCTGTTAAAATGGCAATGATATATAATACTAATATATTTTAAAAATTATGTGTAATGTTACTATAGTACATTCTGTATGAGATTCCTAATGAAAAAGTGAATTGTTCAAACCCACCAACTGTTATGTAGGACAAGATTGAGGCAGTCTGTGTTATGATTTACAGCTTTGGAAACCCAGTGAAGGATTTCTGTGAATCAGAATCAATTTGAAGGCAGTGAGTTTTGGATTTGTTATATATTTTCTTAATTTTTTATTTAAGTCAGTTTAAATTTTCTTATTTTGAGTCAGCACATTCTTTGTGGTTTTTTCTTTTCTCTGCCATTTATTCTACCCTTTCCATGAGTAATAGTTTCATTTGAAGAAAAGTTCCCTATGCTCTTTACAGATATGAGGATTTTCTTAGTTCTAAACTGTATGTATTAGATATTTTCTTGGTGCTAAGTTTTACATACACAGGAAAAACTGAAGGATGCCATAAAGTAGCAGGAAAGAAAGAATAGTTGGTTTTTAATTTACATTTAATAAATATTGGTAGTTGGATATTTGAATGTATAGTGTAGTGTAAAGACCATAAATAAAATTGCCAACCTATAGTCCTGTTGTGCATTCCTTTTTTTTTTTAATTATTTTTTGTGTGTATACCGTCAAATCAGTTCTGACTGGTATAGGAGGAGATTTCCCTTCATTCTCCAGCAGAGCATTTGGTGGATTCAAACCGTGTGCCTCTGGGACTGCAGTTTAGCTTCTTGCTGCTAGGCCACCAAAGCTCCTGTGCATTCCTTTTTAAATGCAAACATCTGTTTTACGATTGTTGTTTGCTGTCAAGTCAGAGCTCACCCATATCTGACCCTCCAGTGAGTTTTCAGAGGCACTGAATTGCAGAGGAGGAGCTTGCCCATCCTTCTCTCACAGAATAGCTTATGGATTCAAACCATGTGCCTTCAAGATGGCAGCACGGCTTCTTACCTCGAGAGCTCATATTCAAAATAACACTTTCTTATTCATCTGTGTGAAATCAGAAATTGAAAACTATTCTTACTGCTTAATAAATGATATTTTTTTTTAATCCTTAAGATAAAGCAAAAGGAGAGAAAGAGTAATACTGATACTTTATATGAAGTTGTGTGCTTGGAAAGTGAATCAGAAAGAGAGAGGAGGAAAACTACTGCTAGTCCCTCAATTCGCCTGCCACAGTCTGGATCACAGAGTTCAATGATACCTTCTCCTCCAGAAGACGACGAAGAGGAAGGTAAATTGTAGGGACTATAATTTATATTTTGGAGTGGAGGACAATGCAGATTTTTTTAGGGAACTGGTTATATGTTACCGTGTTTGAAAGTTTTCCAGTAGCTGTGGTAGATTCACACATTATTAATACAGATTTCCTTTAAAAACTTAAAACTATATTGGATAAATGAAGTATAGTTTGTACTTTCTTTTTTTAAAATAAAATACTAGCTTGGTATAGTAACATTTTTTTTTTTTTTGTAACATATTTTTTAGAAGACATTTTATTCAACTTTTGTTAATGTTTACCTCTCAGTTGTATTGTCTGGTAGTAAGAAGTTCACTTTCACACATGATCTTTTGGCAAAATATGTGTGATCTTCTCCAATTATAAATGTTAAGAATCAACCAATTCTTTTCTTTCACTCTCTCACTCATTTTCCTTTTTTATGTCTGTGTATATTGAACTCTGGTAGTTTAGAAACTACGCTGCTGATCCAAAGGTGCTTGGTTCAACTTCACCAGCTGTTCTGCCGGTCTTAGAATAATGAACAGTCTTCTCTCTTGCGGTTTTCAGCCTTGGACAACCCACTGGAGGTGGTCAGCTATGAATCATATAACAATTGGACGAATAGGAATAATTTGTCAGTCTCCTATTCTTTGTTAAAATGAACTGAAGTGAGAAATAGAAGTGGCATGGGAAAAGTAAAACCTTTTGAGGTATTTTCAAATCTTAAAAGCAGCTTATGATAGGAGGTCACATATGTAATGTGTTTATTTGAGATTCTCAAGCGTTCTTGAAATCATTGTGGAGAATTTGGTGAGGTACATAGTGACTGTGTTTTTGAGCAAGGACTTTAAAGTGCAAGGAGAATTCACGCAGGTGTGCTGATCTGAGCATTTCTGGGCAAAGAAATAAACTTGGAGGTGACAGGTCTGCCTGATTTTGTTAAATCCTCATGTAAATATTTTTCCAAGTGAAGAAAAAGTATTTTGACCTACTCATTTACTGTTAATAGTCAATACTAGAGCCATAATAAATTATAGACACTATTCCAAGTACCTTGTTTATCTTACATAATACAACTAACTGTCCTAAGTAGTAGGATTTGTTATTATCCTCCTCTTTTGTATGAGAAAACCAAGTCTCAGAGAAGTGAAATAATTTGCTCAAGGTTACACAGCTAGATAGTAACACAGTTGTGATTTGAATATAGATCTGTGAGTCCATACTTTCATTTTATTCTGTCATCATCGCTAGAAGGCAGATATATCAACTGTTGAGAAATCAAAGATGTAATTTAAAAATATCCTAAAGAGTATGACAGTAATCTGGAACAAGGAGAGCATTGTAGGGAGGGCTACTAAGGGAGGAAGAAAATGTGCTATAATTAAAACATTTTCTATGTTAAAAAAATTTAAAATAGCTTAAAGAGCCAATTTAAATTACCTGTTAAAGTAAAGAGAGGTGGAATTGATGGCTCTTAGATCATATCATCCCATTGTTAATATAATCTTTGTGTAACATGTGCTCTTGAGACTTGCAGAACAAATATTGACTTTCTAATTTACTGTTAATGGCTGCCAATACTAGTTCCGTAATATACGGTAGACAGTGGGCTAAGTACGTTGTTTGTGTTGCATAATACAGCATGATTGGCATAGTGGCTGCAACAGTGGGTACAAGTACAGCATCATTTATGAGGGTGGCTCAGCACCGGGCAGTGCTTCCTTCAGTTATACACAGAGGCACTATGCATTAGAAAAGACTTGATGACAAAGTAGGTGCTTTGTAAATATTGCAGAATGAGAACTCTCCTAGGTCCCATACCATAGTAAAGGCTGAGTGACTGGAGAGTTGCCACTGTGAAAAGGACTGTATAGCCAAGGGATCTTTAGTTCTCTCATCTATCTAAAAATTAGAAAATCATCTAAAAATCTATCAGTTTGATCTGTTTTTCCCTAAGAGTTAATGGCTACAATTCTACTGAGAATTTTCTTAACCACAAGGCATTTCTGCAAATAATTATAGAAAGAGGGAGCATTTAGAAAGAGCCTTCTAAACTAGGGTCCTTCCATATCCATCCAGGCCTTAAGCAGATGAGATTGTCAACAGATTTCAAGCTACTGTTATCTAAATTTGTTAGAAACGTTCATAATACAAAAGAAATTATTTTGTAAGATACGTCTTTCTAATCTTTTTGAAGTAAGCTCCATCACTTGTAAATTTTACCCATTTTTAGATAGCCTTCATTTTCCTATAGAGTTGTGTTCCAAATGTTTATATTTTAATGAGAATAGAAGTATTTCAGGGATTAGGAACTAGAACCATTCTGACAAGTTAGTCAAGTTGAAGAGTTCATTTTAGTGCCCTTGAACGTTTCTCTTTACCCTATTCCTCCAATTAAAGAGGATCCACATATAGACTTTTTCTCAGTTTTACTCAGTCCTTCCTCTTCCCTCTCAGGACCATCAGAACTGATGATAATGTGCAAGACATTGTAATGTGGAGTTTAATAATAATCATCATAGCTTTCTTAGTGTTCAAAACCAGAACTCTACAATGTGTCCTATCTCCAATAAGGATGCAAATTCATGATGCAATAATTGGAGCATCTGGACTTGGTTTAGGAAGGTTGAAATAGGAAGTAACGTCAGTGATGGCACATAGAATCAACTACTCTTATACAATTAATGGAAAGTAGTAAAGCCTGTTTAAAAGGCAGTTTGTCAGTAAGTTTCAAAAGCCTTAAAGTAATGCTTTTTTAAAGAAACAAAACAAAACACTAGAAAGGCAGGAAATCTACCCTTGTGCTCATAATTCACTTGAAATGATAGTATATGTTTATAAAAATATCACTTCCATGATATTCATACCCATATTTCTTGCAGAAAAAAAACTCCAACCCTGTAAAATTCCTGAATGTCTAACAAAGGGAAGTTTAAGTAGTTATCTTAGTCCATATCCACTTTGTTAAGCTCTTTGTCCCTTTATTTGTTTCATTTTTTTTACCGTCTTAATACAGATTCTTTTTAGAATTTCCTTTAATTACTTGAATTAAGTTTTAAATTATTCTTCCTTTTTTATATGTTTTTATGTTTTGTGCTTGTTTTAAATTGTGTATTCTATTGTGGAAAATCAAGAAAGTCATAGAAAGAGGAGGAGAGAGAAAATAATCATGACTTAATCACTTGGAGGCAGTAATTGTTAATGTCTTGACCTAGTTGCCTCCAGTCTGTTTTTTTTTTATTATTATTAATTTTAATGAAAATTTACAGAGATTTTGGATTTCCACTCATTCATTGTTACACTTTTCTCTATGCCCACCCCTCCCCCCAGTTTGGTTTTTTTTTTTGAAAAGTGAAAGAAAAGTTGTTTCATTCCCCCCCCCCCCAAGTCCACTCCACTATGCAGCCTTCACTTTGGACTTCTGTCATGACAATAATATGTAATCACAGATCCCTTTTAAACAGTTCTCTCTCTCATCTGTTTCAATACAGTATGCATTATTTATCCCGTCTTTCTCTGTCTCCCCCCAACCCTGATGTCAGTGTCATTTTACAACAATGGCACTGGGCACTATTTGTCCTTTTGTGACTAAAATATTTCACTCAGCATAATGTCCTCCAGGGTCATCCATTTTGAATAATATTTCATGAGTTACTTGTTTTTCAATGCTGTGTAGTATTTCGTTGTGTGAATATACCACAGCTGCTCTGTCCATTCGTTTGTTGATGGGCACCTAGGTTGTTTACAGTTCTTTGCTATTGTGAACAAAGTCACAATAACTGTGGGTGTGCATATATCTGCTTGGGTGGCGGTTATGGTTTCTTTAGGGTTCCATTCTGTTCTCTAACAAAGATATAAAAATAAGATCCCACTCTTGATAATTTTTATTTATTTGTTTTTTAATTGCACTACAGTGACACTTGAGGTTAAAAGGGCAGCCTGCAGTGGGCTGGGGCCCCAGTTATGCGTGAACTCAGGCTCTTGTGCTGCAGCTTATCCATGTATTATATAAGCATGTTAACATGCATTTAAATATTATACATGTACAGTGTTTATTCAACAATTCTCTGTTCTTTTTGTGAGATAAGAATATTTCTAGCTTTCCTATATGCTGTTGGTGTTATTTACTTTTGAGTTGCAACTGACTTTTAGCTGACCCTCCACCAGGATTTTCAGAGACTGTGAATTACATGGGAAGAGACAGCCCATCTTTCTCCCTTGGAGAAGCTAACCTGCCCTTTCGTTGGCAGCACAGCTCCTTACTCACTGGGCCACCAAAGCTTCTGGATAAATGACAGCTATCATTTATTTTCACACATAAAACTGTCTACCTTGAAAGAGGAGAAAAAAAAATAAAAGAAAAAGAAAGAGGAGACATACCACTTTCTATTTTTAGTCCAGTGAGTATGTAAATAAATAACTCTTCTCTGTATCCAATATAATATAGGCATATACCAAAAGAAAAGAAAATAGAAATTATATTTCATGTAGAACCATTTTTATTTTCTTAGCATTAATGCCTGTGTTAAGAGAAAGAATGTCTTTTTGCTCCCGGTCAAATAATTCCGATTTGACTCTTACATTACCATGTCATTTGTCAGATTTTACAAAGCCATGTTTTTGGTTTTTTGGTATTTTTTTTTTAATGCTTTTTATTTACTAGATAATGATGAACCTCTCTTGAGTGGATCTGGTGATGTATCCAAAGAATGTGCAGAAAAAATTCTTGAAACCTGGGGAGAACTACTGTCAAAATGGTAAGTTAAATAAAATACTATATTTCCTTTTATCTACGAGTCTGTGTTTTATGGATAAAAACTCTTTAACTAGCCTCAAAAAACCAGTAATAGAAACTTAAGCCTAATGTGCACAATCTAGTGTCTTTATCTTTTTCTAGCTTCATAGTTGTGGTAGTAGAGATTTAGAAACAATTTTTTAAAAACTAATAAATTATCATTGCTAAAGAAAGTATCTAAACATGAAATTTATGGGAGGAATAATGGGGAAAATAACCCTTTTTTGGACTAGGAGTTCCTCAGTAGCACGAAGAGTTAAGCACTTGACTTCTGATAGAAAAGTTGCCAGTTAAAGTTTATCCAGAGCCTCCTTAGACTGTCTGCTCCCAAAGATGAACTGTTAATATCTGAAGAATATAGAGCTGCTCTCAGCCAAATAAACCAGCTGCTTCTGGAGAAGTGGTTAGGAACTACTCACTGCCCAGTATTAATACGGAACAATCCAGGAAGTGTGGAGGACTCTCTCATGCAGGGTTATAGTGGTCACCTCAGATAGTTTGTCCTTGTCTGTGTTACATACTTAGAGTGGCAGAGCAGCTTTTCTCAAGCACAGTATGAATTACTAGTTGTACTAGTTGTTTTTCTTACTAACACTAATAAATGAACTATTTCCTGTCAGCTCAGTATTTGTAAATAGGACTAGACACATTCTGTTAAGTTAGGTTGAGAAGCATTTCTTTCTCCTATAAAGAAGTAAATATATACTGAAAAAAGCTTAGCTTGAAAGTGATGCAAATACACTACTATTTCTCACTCTCTGGTTATTAGAGTTGTGGGCTTGTTAACTGTTGGGTTTGATTTTACTGTGAAGTTTGAACTGTTGGATCATTTTATTCTTACTAAAATTGTGTCTCAGCAATTTTTTTAAAAAATCTTTTAAAATGCCTTTAAGGGGTAGGACCACAAGTAGGCATTTCATAGTGTTCTACACTCTTTTGGTAGAACACTCTTTACTTTGGAAAATGTCAATTTTGCACTTGAGGAGAAAGCGATACAAAGCCTGGCTTGGGTTTACCCAAGTGGTTTCAGTAAATGGTCTCTGCAAAGAACCCCAGGGAAATTGTTCTCATACATGTTCAGGGTTTCTTTAGAAGTCAAGAGACAAACCTGCTTATGTTGTAATCACTGTTACATTCTCAGTTCAGTGAGTTTGTAGTGTTCAGGGTGCTGCTGGCACCAATTTTACCTGTCTAAAAAGATTTGTGCTCTTAAAACAGACGTGTAACATGCTTGTGCTAAAAAGGATTTAGATAAAGAATGTAGACTCTAGAATTAGGTTTTATTAGATAATCCACTAGTTTATACAATGACTTGGAATTGGTTTTATTACCAAGTTTTGTTTATTCAGTTGTTGATTTAATTAAGTCAAGTTCGTCTTTCCATCCTCCAAATTGAGTATGTTGTTGTTGTGTGCCGTCAAGTCAGAATCAACTCATAGCTGACCTTCCAGTGGGTTTTCAGAGGCCACAAATCGCACAGGAAGAAATTGCCAATCCTTCTCCCTCAGACTAGCCAGTGAATTTGAACAGCATGCCTTTGAGATTGAAGTACAGCTTCTTACCACTAGACCATCTGTCTAAACTATTTTCAGAAGGTTTGACACTGGTGTTGCTAGTTTCAGTCATGTGTTCAGATGATCTTGTAGTCTTGTTCATTTCATATCTTTTTACATTATTATAATATTCTCTAGATGAGAAAAATTACATTATCATGGTATTTTAAGGCCTGGTAAATCTGCCTTCACATTCTCTCTCTGTTCATTCTAGGCTGTGGCTAGATCACTGGGCTAATCACTTAACTATTCTGAGTATGTTTCTTCATATAGAAAGTAGATATCATGCTAGTAAAAACTGATGAATTGTGTACTAGGCACCACCTTAAAGTTTTGTATGCTATCTCATTTACAGTTATCTAACAAACTAGTACCCACTTGATAGATGAAGAAGCTGTATAACTAACCCTAACCTAAATCTCAAGAAAGTTCCTCTCTGGTAGTTCGAACCTAGCTGCTACTTAGTGGGAGAAAGATGGACAGCCTCCATCAATGTGATTTATAGCTTCTGGAAACCCATTGGAGGGTCAGCTGTGAGTTGATGTCTACTTGATGGCATATAATAACAATATAAGTTACGTAGGAAGTGATATATTTTTCTGGAGAGGTGTAAATAATAAATATTTCCCATTTTGTGGGCCAATAATCTTTATTGTAACTACTCCACTCTTTCTTTAGAGTGCAAAAGAACCATATACATTAAACGGGAGGGTGGCTGTGTTCAGTAAAAGGTATTTTTTATAAAACTATTGATACACAACAATGAATGAATGGAAATCGAAAATCTCTGTAAATGTTCATTTAAATTAATAAAAAAAAAGCTAAAAGAAACCCTGATGATACTAGATATTACCATTATGTTGCCAGCATCACAACATTTTCACTTTTTTTAATAAATTGTGCAGTATTCTAGAAATCTTGAGCAATTTTAAGAAAATTCTTGGACCTTTTTATAATTTTATCTAGGTCTTCATACGATATCAATACCTTGCTTAAATCTAACAGTCAAAGAGCTTTTTCGTTTCAAGATTCTGTTTATTAATGCAATAATGTTGTTGATGTTGTTAAGTGCCATTGAGTCATAGGTGACTTATAGCGACCCTATGAATAAAAAGTCCTCAACGTTTGTGTGACTTTTCATCCTTTCTACAGGTTCGTAGGGTTTCCGGAGGCAAGCTATTAACAGAAGTGGATGCCACTCCTGCTTCCAAAATACAATAATAGTAGTTCATAAATATGAAAAACAACTATCGTGTAATGCATAATATATTCATTTATTTTTGAGTTGAAAAATTACCATTTCATTGACACTGAGAGCTTTTTGTCCATCTGTGAAAATGGAGATAACAATACCTACCTCGGATGATTGTTGTAATGCTCATGTGTAGTATTGTGATGCAGAAGCATTTTATAAATTTATGCCACAATTACAAGACAAGTTTTTTCCATATTTTTTTGATGAGTTAAGTGAAGCTTAACAGACTTCAATAACTTATTTTGATGGTACTGCAACACAATAGACACTTCCTTACCCACTGTATTCATTCAACGAAGTCAATTACATCCTGTTTAAAAATGCTTAGAACATACCTCAATATTTTTACTCAGAGCATATTAATTACATTCTTAATTTATTAAGAATTCTTAATTAATTACATTCTTAATATTTTAGGTAGGGCCAAGTCTTGACTATGCTTTTGACAGATTGATATTTTCTATTTCTTATATAAACTATAACCATATGGTTTGATTTCTACAGTTTCCAGTTTTGATTTTTAAGAAAGACGTGTATTTGAAGATCCTTAGTAAAAAGATTATTACATAATCAGTGTAGATTATTACTTTCCTTCATCTAATCTTTCATAGTTAACTTCTTGTTGTTAGTTTCTGTTGAGTTGATTTCAACTTACGGTGCCCATGTTTGCAGACTGGCACAGCTCTTTCATAGGGTTTCAAGGCCTGTCTTCTCATACACCTTTGGGTGGATCCAGACCATCAGCATTTCAGCTAGTAATCAAACACTTACCAGTTTACATCACCCGGGTCTTCATAATTATCTTGGCTATATCTAATCATACGGCATTTTCTTTTTGTTTGGTAATATGTCACTTTATTAGGTCTTTCTAAGCCAGTTAGTAGAATTTTTTTAAAAATGACAATCATTAGAGAATTGTTCTGTACATTTAAGGGTTTGGGCTTTATTTGCAGGCATCTCAATTTAAGTGTGAGACCAAAGCAGTTGTCATCATTAGTAAGAAGCGGTGTCCCTGAAGCTCTTCGGGGAGAAGTTTGGCAGCTACTAGCTGGCTGTCATAACAATGACCACCTGGTAGAAAAATACCGAATCCTTATCACAAAGGTAAGAGAATGGTATTCAGTTTTACCATTAATATCTTTTGAGATTTTTTAATGGAAATAATGATTTCTAAGAGTTTTCGTAATTTGGGTTTTTTTACTCTATGAATAGTAATGTCCTACTCTTAATCCAAAGTTCGCTTTTATGTTAGTGTAAAGGAGAAAGGCCTTAGACTTGCTTTCTTGGGTGACTTCACTTCAAAGGCAAAGGATGTCCTCTAGCCTGTTGTGAATCTAATTTCTTCTTTATTTTAGTTACATATTTTGACATATCAGGTTGTCCTGTGTAATGTGTAAAACTTTGCTTATTTTGATTCGTTCACATCTTATAAAAATATGATCTTGGTAGAGTAAACCTAGTTCTAATTTTCTGCACTTGAAAGAACATAATTCTGTAATTTTAAACCAATTCTTTTTTTACTTTTTCTCTGAAGTGAAACACTTAACATTTTTATCATATCTCTTTCTCAAATTCATACATTCCACATGTTTTTCCAAGAGAAGCAGCAAAAATTAACTTATACAAATGTCTGCGGATTTAAGCAAGTTTTCTGCAAACTGTAGGCAGTATTTGTTGCCTTTTTGCAAATGTTACTGGTTTTCAACATTCATTTTTATTTTTTTGATGGCAAATATGTGCATGTGTGAGTATATATATATGTTTGTGTTTATATAACTAAATTCACCATTACAACATTTCTTGATATGTACAATTCATTGACATTATGTTTGTCATGTTAAACCATCTTAGTCATCAATTTCCTCAATTTTTTTTCATTACCTTTAACAGACTCAGTGTCCTCTAAGTGTTGTGTCTCCTCTGTTCCCTCCTTCCTGTCTACATTTGTTGTGTGCCATTGAGTCAGAACTGAATCATAGGTGATCTTCCAGTGGGTTTTCAGACGCATTTAATTGCACGGGAGAATATTATCCATCCTGTGGCGCTGCTGGTGAATTCGAACTGTGTGCATTTGGGATTGCAGCACAGCTTTGTATAATTAGACCACCAGAGCACCTTATCCACTTCTAGTAACCACCAGTAAACTTTAATATTTATACATTTGTCTGTTTTAAGTGAGATCCTACAGGGTTTTGTCTCCTCACAAAAACATAAATCACTCAGCAAATGTTTTCAAGGTCTGTCTATATTGATTATATATTACAACTCATTTCTCTTTATGGCTAAATAGTATTCCATTGTATAGCTGTACCTTATTTTATTTGTCTTTTTATCACTTTTTGGATGTTTAGTTTATTTCACTGTTTGAATAGTAATTTGATTAACATTGGTGTATTATTTTCAACATTCTTTTAAGTGTTTATCTATAGGAAACAGTTTCTCCAGTGAATTGTAATCCTAAACCTAGATTATGAGTGGATTTAAAACCCTCTGTAATGGTTGAGAACTTTACATTGTAATGAAAATGATACCGTTTCTTTAAGAAGTGTTAAACCCTTATATAAGATGAATAATATTTCCATAAAGATGTTACTTAAAAAATACCTTTAAGAAGAACAGTGTTTGGCACTGAAATGGGTTCTTTCTTTGCTCATAGAAAATTATTTTTAAATGTTGAATATTAATCTTCCTTCTAATCATCTTATTTCCAGACATGATTTTCTTATTGCAATAAGAGTGAATATTCTGATTCCCTCCATTCTGTTGATAGAATTATTTATGAATGCTTATTATAATAACTACAACGCTGGAACTGAGAGCCCAAATTTTAAAAAAGTTAGCAGTTATTGTAGACTGCGTCTAAAATAGCACACGCTAGAAGCCATAAAAATAAGTGATTCATTCTGCTTGGAGAAGAGAGGGGTCTTTACCAGGAATATAAAATATGATCTGGTTTCCAGCAAAGAGGTCTCCAGGCATGGAAGGGTATAGAAAATTTCATACATTGAACAGAACCTTCGAAGAATGAGACTATAACATACATTTAGCAGAGTTACACTTGGTTGTTGATATTTTGTTGGCAGCTCATATTTGGAATGCATAATTCTCGGTTGTAGCATTATTTTTATATTTCTTCTTTTAAATTCATTTATGTTTGCCTAAAATGATAAAAGAGTTTAACCCTTATTTTTGAGGCTCTGCTTAGCAGGCGTCTTAATGTCACCAGATGTTCCACAGGAGAAAGATAGACAGTCTCATCCTGTTTGATGTATTGCCTCTGAAAATTCTGAAAATGAGCTATGAGTCAGTTATGACTTGATGGTAAAACAGCAGCATTTGTTTAGGTGGTGTTCTCTAGAGAAGCAAATCAATTAGACTTTGATTTTATGTATGTGTATGTCTACACATATATGGAGAATGAGGGAGATTGATTTCAAGGAATACTTAAAATACTTATACTCAATACTTATAGTTGTTCGAAAGGGCTAATGAATCCAAAGACAAGAAGTCAGAGTGCTTTGGAAGCTGCTAGCTTCAAGGCTGGCATCCCAGGTAAAGACAGCCACCTTCAGAGACTGACACATTGTATGAGAGCAGGAATACAGCACTCTGGTCTTTCGATATTTTGAGTCAAAAGTTACTAAGTTCACAGCAGGCTACAGGCTCAAGTTTGGAGACCAGATAGCCAGACACAGATTAGAGTAAGAGTTTTCTAGATTAAAATGAGAGGGAGAGCTCTCTAGCTTTTTGCCAGATTCCAGAGATACCAGGCAGGTCACACCCCTAAGGAGACCTCCCCTTATTCAGATAAGGCCAGTTAAGATCTTAACAGGTTTGATCCCTTTAGGAAATTTCCTTTTATCAGATAAGACTTCTAATCTTCTAATACTGCCTTATTAACATAATAGAAGTAAGAATTATAACCTACAGAGGACTATGAGTACACAGTGTTAACATTGTGTTAACAGACAGTCTTAACCATCACAGTTCTCATTTTCTGGTCCCATAAGAATGTTGCATCTGTCTTTAAAATAGGAATTCAATAATTACATTATGTGTAAAAGATTGGATCTGAAGAAAATCTCATACTCTTTTAAAGTCTTATGTATGTTGTAATCATATTAATCATACTGTGTTTCATATTAAGCTTTTATTGCTATGCATGTATTTAGGACCTAAAGAGATTTTTTTTTTTTTTTACAAATGGAAGTAAGTTTCTATTATGGCAGATAATATTGATGATAGGGGTGTGTGTGTGTGTGTGTGTGTGTGTGATTCCAATTTGTTCTAAGATTAATACCAGATTGTTTACTAAAAGATGGTTCGTCCCAAACATCTGCTGTACCGTTCCATCATTTCTAACATTAACCATTCCTCTTCTGTTCAGTTCTTATACCCCTGTCTGTGTCTTTGGGTTCTGTAGTTCACTGGAAGAGCTCAAAAAACTCAAACTCCAGGGGAGCTCTGGTGGCCTAGTGGCAAGAAGCTGCAACTACAATCCCAGAGGTGAATGGTTCGAATCCACCAGATGCTCAGCCGGGTAAGGAGGGACAGTCTCCTCCTGTACCAGTCAGATCTGATTTGATGGTACATGCACACAAAAATAATAAAAATTTAAAAAAAAAAAAAATTTAAAAAAAAAAAAAAAACAACAACAAAAACTCAGACTCCATCAGGGAAATTGCTCATGCGACTGTGGGTGATTTAGGCCAGTGTTGCAAAGACTGGTAAGCGATAGTCCGGGATCTTACAGACTGTCAGTTGCAACAGCTCAATGCCATTTATCAGGGGAACATGTATCCCAAGAGAGAGAAAGTATTGTAGGGTAAGGCTTATATCCTACACTGATCCTATCTCCTTAATACAATAAATACTTCCACAAAGTGGGAGGCTATGGATGGAAGGTCAACATTATTAATTCGTTGTATTTATTTATGTATATAACACTAATTTGTAAGAATTAGGTATCATGAACATGAGTTCTCTGTCAGCGATATACTTTGTACTTGGAAACGTTTATTCATAGAGATGTTTTTGCTTAACATCTTCAAAAGCTAAATTTAAAGCAAAGTGACTTGACTTAAAAAGACCAAAATAATTAATTTGCAAATAAATATGATAAAGGCTTTTGTTAAAATTTTTTAACTTATCAATCCTATCTTCTATGAAGCTTATGTAGTACTTTTTTCCACATACATCATTTAGTCCAAGAACAACTAATTAGTATGTGTATTTCATACTTTTGAAAGGTCATACACACAAACACACGTGTGTGTGAGTGAGAGAGAGATTACTGAAAGGTCAAAAATATACATATAATTTTTAAAGGTAATACTTATTTCTATAAGCAGTAGAATTGGTTTAGAAGTACTCAGGCCTTTTACTATTCTCCATTTTAAAATAGAAACTTTTTAAGATCTTTGGTTTTACATTGGTAGTAGGAATCTAAAAGAGACCGAGTATAGCAATAATAATAGCTCCAATTGGCAGCATCATGATAGATGGAGATGAGATTGAGGTTGCTAACAATTTCATCTTGCTCAGATCCACAATCAATACTCTTGGCACTAGCAGTCAGGATATCAAAAGATGAGTGTTCTGGGAATCCCCAGTTGTGTTCGTGTAAAACCTATACTTAGACCAGGATGTAATTATATAAACAGAACAAGGAAACACTGCAGTTTAAAATCAAGATAGGAGTGCATCAGGGATGTGTCCTTTTCTCCATATCTTTTCAGTCTGTATTTGGAATAGATCATTCGGTAGGACAAATGTGGCATCAGGATTGGCGGAACACTCATCACCAACCTGTGTTATGCAGATGATAAAGCCTTGCTTGCCGACACAATTGGGAAGAACTGAAGCATTTGCTGCAGAACATTAATGACTGCAATCCTCAGTATGGATTGCATCTCAGCATCAAGAAAGCAAAAATTCTCGCCACTGGGCCAATTGGCAGCATCAAGATAGAGAACATATTGATCTTGTTAACCATTTCATCTTGTTCAGGTTCATAGTCAACACTCTTGACACCAGCAGTCAGGAAATCAAAAGATGTTTTGGTTTGGGAAAGTCTACTCTTAAGGACTTCTCCAGAGTACTGA